GGAGTTTGTAAGACAATCTAGGAGCTGAAACAGGCTGTGTTTTATTTTATTTTTTTATTTTTGCATCAATAAAAATATAGTTGGCAGTCATCAGCATCCACAGCTCACATAAATCTTGAATTTTTGCCTTAATTGCCATGGGAGAGTTCAAAGGGCAGCCTGGAGTGGTTGAAAGAGCACTGCTCAGGGAGCTAGAGACTTGGGTCTAGCCTCAGCCCAGCCTCTGGCTGTGTGACCTTGATCAAATCACTTAACCTTTCTGGGTGACACTGATCACATCAGCCGTTGGGCCAGATGGTCACCAAGGTCTCTTTTGGTACTGTGTTGTAATATGATTCCATGTTTTTCCTTTAAACCATTCAGCTGTGTTCTCTCTTTTTGGTTCCAGAGAGAGAGAGTAGACCATAAACCTTAGATGTCAGTACTGGAACATATAAAGGTTTTTGTGGGGACAGGCTCAGCAGCCTGTGGCTTCTGATTGAGTTTATACCGCAGGGTCAAACGGAACCCTATAATCCTATCATTTATTGACAGAATCAATACCTGTGCTGCACGTAGATACCTGGGAAGAATGTTTGTACCGGGAGGGACTTTATCAGAAAAGCTCCTTCATTTTAAAGCTGAAGATTTTAGCAGGCTTCTTTCTGTCTGTTCATCCATCCACCCAGTCAACACTCGAGTGCCTACTCAAGCTGGCTGAAGACAGCTCAGACTGCATCTAGGTGCTCCGCTCTAGCAGACGTCAACCGGAATATTTTTCAGTAGAGACACCACCATATTGGAAGCACACATCAGTAACAAAGCAGTGGCCCAGAGAAAGATGAACCTTCGCTGTGGGATAGGAGTGCTAAAGAAAGGCTGTATCAGAGTACTTCGGGGATGTTTCTGTGGGGTTATAAATCTCTCTTTAACCAGCCACTTCTTAGGAGACTTCTGCTGCATGAAAGTAAAATTCAGCTTCCCTAACGTAACTGTTTCAGTGTAGAAAATGATCAGATCAGAGTACTTCGGGGATGTTTCTGTGGGGTTATAAATCTCTCTTTAACCAGCCACTTCTTAGGAGACTTTTGCTGCATGAAAGTAAAATTCAGCTTCCCTAACGTAACTGTTTCAGTGTAGAAAATGATCAGGCATAGGTATGCTGTGCCTTGACTGTGCAATTTTACTTGTTTATTTACTGTGGCCAGGTCTTACTGTTCCTTTAACGTGCTCATCATTAGTATTTAATGACTAAGAGAACATCCACCATTCTTTTGCTACATATTACATCAGATCTAAGACTGTCAGAGCTGAGGGGACCACACCTATCATCCAGGGCAACTCGTTTACTTTATAGGTAATTTAGTGTATTTATTTTTTACGCCATCAGAGGTTTATACCACAGTTCTCCCTCTATTAATTAAGTGACTTTAAACTCACCCTTCATACATCTGAGGTTAGGCCAGGGAAGGTACATAAAGTAGCTGCTCATACACTTGATTTCAGACAACCTGATGTGTCCTTGGCTTGCAGATTCATTTTAAATAGAGTTGTGGAGTAAAATCCATTGAGCGTCTTCTGTGTACAAGGGTCATCTCTGCTTTTGTAGATGTTTAGTTTGTTAAACCATTTCCTTCCCTGAACGAAAGTTGTGAAAGCTGCTCACAAGTCCTGGTATGAAAGAAGCCTCCTTAGGCCGAGGAGCTTGTCCAATGTGTCTGGTCCATGTTTCTCTCCAGCTGCAATGTAGTTCTTTGAAGGCTCTGGCCTTTCCATGTGTTTAGACTACAAAAATGGCAGAAAATATTGGAGAGAGGAAGAGTATGTGGAAGACATGAGGCTGCTGTTGAAGGAAACACAGTAGGGCTAATCCTAAAATATAACTATTTTTCTAGATCTTCCAGGTTCTTCAGTCTTCTCATAAAGCTGGTTTATTTCAGGAGGAGCCACTGTAAATTAAAATAGTTCCTCCCCTCCAGCATCATGTGCATTAAAATGATTTGTGAGCTTGCCTTCTTTAAGGGGAGGCTTAGTTACCAAAGGGTGGTCATACCTGTGTGATGTTAGCACTCACCAGGGTGGGGTTGGTCAGCCCAGGCAGAGGGTTGGGGTGGCTATCACTGCCACCCAGGGCACCTTGATCAACTTGGCTCCATGGCCCTTTCTGTTGAGGCATGATTTATGGTTATTCAAGGAATGTTGTGAAATTCAGGTTTCAAGCTATAGCCATGTAGGTGATCGGTTTCTACTTTGTGGATTAGATTTTGTGGTGGCTCCACCCACTGTCGATCTCTGAGACTTAGGTTAGAAGCACTGTGCCTATTGCATAGTTGTTTATCTGTTTTGCATGAGCAGATTTTATAGGTACAGTTTTGATGACTGAAATTTTACCTCAGGGAAGTGGCTACCTGCCAGAAATTCCAGCAGAATTCTTTCACTCTAGTCTTTAAATCATTCCTTAGGTACCATGACAAAGACTCTGGTTGCCAGTGTACTGTTGCCACAGGTCAGGGTTGCACAGGCCACGAGGTCTGGAGTGATCCCTGCAGCCTCACTGATGGCTTAGCCCAGTGTGAGACGAAAAGAACAACATTCCTAATTTCTTAAGCTAAATTCCACTTTTTGACATTTTAGGGAACATAAAAATCATGCCCAGTGGTATGTGAGCACATATCTGTTGATTTCTTTTGTGTAAAAAAGAAAAGACATTCCAGAGGGTCAGCTGAGTGGTAATTGATGCTATGTGAAAGAGTTACTACATTAATATTTAGCTAATTCATGTGAATAGGCTATTGTGTTTACTTAAACAAATGACATGAGCACAGACACCTGACAGTGTGAGGTATGCTTTTCATTTAGGTCAGATTTGTAAAAGTCTTTGTGTAGCCACAAAGCTCATTATTTATTTTGTGCTCTCAATGGTTTCTTTTTTAGTGGCTGTGGCTGTGGATGGATTTTTCTAAGTGGAAGCTTTTAAAATGAAAGATTATTGAAATTGTTTCAGTATATGCCAGGCCCTGGGAGTCTTGTGATGAATAGGAATCAGCACTCACTGGTGGAATGTTCAGAGGAATAGGCATGTTTATGGGCACTGGAGACCCCAAGTCAGACAGCTACCCAAGTTGCCTACTCGATGAAAATGCTGCTGGACTCAAAGGAAAGAGTGCAGCCTCATTCCTTTTCCCTCGTCCTCCCTTGTCTTTCCTTCCTACTTTCTTTCTCTCTGGTATGCATGATGACCAGCTGTCCCTTTTTGCACTGCCTTGGCATCATGTAGTTGCCCCTGTATCCCACCACCTTGGCACTTAGACCTGCACAAGGATAGAGAAGATACGGCATGCCTCTGTGAAGAAATCTTAGCTCCGTCTTTTGTAGCAGGTTTTTATAGTAGGTTTAAGAGAAAGCGTGAAGCAGATAGGGTTATGTGTTTTGGATGCAGTTATTCCAATTCCTGATTAGAGCATGAGAGTCTGGCTGCTGAGTGAAGGGTATTGTAACCCCCCAGGAGCAAGCTGTGCCACCCGTGGCATAGAGAAGCCTTCTACATGTGCATCCGAGCCAGACAAAGCCCATGCCTCGGGCCATTTGTCTGTGGTTTGAGGAGTCTGTGTGCTTTTGCTCAGTCTAACCCTTACCAGAAATAAGCAATGTTATGAATTGGCTTTCTAGAATGTTCAAGGTCCTGTTGATGGATGCTTTAGGGGAATACAGGGATTTTGGTTACCAGTTTTCTAAGACAGAAACACAATATATGTGAAAAGTTAAATTGCTGTATAAGATTTCATTGGGAGTTTTGGATAGCAATAAAGGAAGAAGTGGCCCAGGCTGGCTCTCCCGGCCTCCGGTCTTAAATATCAGAGTGGTTGAAGGTTTGGATTCCAACCCCATGGAGAAGCTGGTTCTTCCTAGTGTTGAAGAGCAGGGCTGAGGACAGTGGGCTCTGGTATCAGACCGATTTGGTTCAAATCCTGGCTGTACAACTTGCGAGCTTCATGGTTTTTGGAGGATTACTTAACTTCTCTGTGCCTTGGTTTCCCTACCTGTAAACAGGAATTATAATAGTGCCTTTCTCATTGGATTGTGAGGATTAACGTTTTAAACATGTAAAAGCTCTTAGAGTAGTGCTTGCAAAATAAGCATTCAGTCAGTAGTGGTCATTAACCTCTCTTAGCAGGCAGGAAGAATTTACAGCCTTGTTCCTGAGTGATGCTGTGGCTCTTACTTAGATAAAATGTACTTCGCTTGGTGATTTAAAAACTTGCCTCTTTCCTTGAGTTAAAAAAAATCACTTATATTTATGACTTAAGAGAGCACGACTTTACATAACATTTGATTAGTAGCCCCCTATTAAGTTATCAGCTTAGGTGTGGTAGGATAATGTTATTCATAAACACTGTTGGAGAAAAAAAAAAAACATTTTGTCTTTTTTTCATTTCAAAAATTTAGTGATATGGTTTTTTTGTTTGTCATATAAAGTACTGGGAAATTCATGATACCTCCATGGATTCTTTTATATTAGGATGATGGTTTATACTTTTTATGGCTCTTTAAAGTAAAGCTCCAATGGATAAGTTGATGTGGCTTTTGAGGACAACTTGTTTTAACTAGTGGGTATATGGGATCATTTAATAGGTGGGGCAATCTATAATGATATATTTTTGGAGGGCTGAGTTGTTAACTATTGCCTGTGTTTTTACTGTATGTACAAAGTAGAATTTTAAAACATGATTCGACATGAAATTATTTTCTGGCACCGAGAACAAGAGAGAGAAGGTGCCTCAGACATTTTTTTTTTCGTGTTAACGGACATAAACCAATGAGCAGTCTCTCTCCAGGGACCGTCTGCGAGGCCAGCTGGATTAGACTTCCGAAATTTTTTTCCTAATTTAAATATTACCCAAAGATTTGAAAAATATCAGATCCATTACATAGAAAAATAAAACGATCTTGCTTGTTTGGAGTTTACTCGTGGAGACAAGGCAATCCATCTATATACATTTTAATGTTATTTTCCAAAACAGGAGCACCGTACTGGACCAACACAGAAAAGATGGAAAAGCGGCTGCATGCTGTCCCTGCAGCCAATACTGTCAAGTTTCGCTGTCCAGCTGGGGGGAATCCAACACCAACTATGAGGTGGCTGAAAAATGGAAAAGAATTTAAGCAGGAGCATCGCATTGGAGGCTATAAGGTACAATGAAGCTTTCAAAATTTTGTACTTCTTAAATTTTTGTGTATTTATTTTTGCAAGTCCTCAGAAGTTAGCAGGAACTAAGAGGAATGTTTTTGAAAAAATCAGGAAGTATCATAACTGATCATGTCAATGCTTCGTATTGAAAAAAAAAATGGTCCTGATCTTGCATGTCATTTTAAAGTACAATTCCCACTTACATCGTTGTTCTTTATATGAGGAGAATTTAATAACAGAAGGGTTGAAAGTTGAGAGTCTGTTTTCTATATGCTTTATAGTCTGTAAAACTAAAACTGGAGTGGAATTTGAGAAGTGTCAGTACAGATGCCCTGTTTGAGCAGGGTTGCATTAACAGCGAATGGATCTGGATGAGAGACTGGAGTATGAAATATTACTCATTAAGAGAGATCACTGAAAGGTGACAGAGGCAGTCCCCTGTCCCCCCTCTTCAAAGATTCTGAAGAGCCCATCATGGAGTTCCATGAAGTTCAGTCTTATCACTCCCTGGGGAGTTTGAAATGGACAGCTATCTCCCTGAAGATGTCTGCGAATGCTCCTTCCAGCCTTTGATCATCCGTTTAGCTAACGTTGAAGGAGCACCTGTCTGCGCCAGGCACCATCCTAGGCTCTGGAGAAACCAAAGAGGGCAAGCCCTGGCCCCAGCTCAGAGGGGCTTCTAGTCCAGCAGGGGAGGCAGACAGGAGAGCTGACAGTCTCAGAGGACACAAGTCACAAGAGTGTGCTGCATCCTGCAGACATGCACGGAGAGGTGCTAGGCTCTGGAGAAACCAAAGAGGGCAAGCCCTGGCCCCAGCTCAGAGGGGCTTCTAGTCCAGCAGGGGAGGCAGACAGGAGAGCTGGCAGTCTCAGAGGACACAAGTCACAAGAGTGTGCTGCATCCTGCAGACATGCACGGAGAGGTGATGTTGGCTCTTTGGGAGGATAAGGAGATCAGAGAAGGATCCTGGGCTGAGTTGGAAGGAAGAGTGTGTCAGAAAGAGAGATCTAGACTCACCAAATTATTTAGTGTGGAAGAGGAGAACTTTGAGAATTTAGCATATGAGGAGGACTTAAGGAAACCTCATTATAAAATTCTTTGGTGCATTTGGAACATGAGTGGGCATATTAGTTGCCTACCGCTGCATAACAAATTACGTCAAGACATAGTGACTTTAAAGAGCAACATTTATTATTTCACAGTTTTCATGGTTAGGAATCCAGGTGCGCCTTTGCTGAGTCTTCTGTCTCCAGGTGTCTCATGAGACTGTAATGAAGGTTTTGGTTTAGGCTGGGGTCTCTTCTGAAGGATTACCTGGGGAAGGAACTGCTCATATGTTGTCCTCAGGATTCACTTCCCGCAGGTTGTTGGACTGAGGGCCTCAGTTCCTCACTGGTTGTTGGCTGCAGGCCTCAGTTCCTTGCCATGTGGGTGTCTCCATAGGGCAGTTGACAACATGGCAGCTGCCTTCATCAGGGTGAGCAAGGAAGAGGAGCCAGAGAGAAAGAGTGGAGGAACACAGAGGAAGTGGCATCCCACCACTTTTACTGTTTTCTGTTTAAGCAAGTCACCAGGGAGGAGATTACCCTAGGGCATGAATGCCAGGAGACATTGGGATCTCTGGGACCCACCTGAGAAATCTACCCAGTGGGTAAAATAGAAGGCACTTCAGCTTGGACCCCAGGGCTTTAAAAGCCAGGTGGGAGAGGATTTCTTGGTGGAAGCAGTGGGACGTCTGGAAGGACTGTCTCTCCCCCATGTTTAACATACTCATGTTACCCCAACTCCATCACTGTTGTGGTTCCATGAACCACCGCCTCCACCCCAAAGTGCCCTAGAGCCCTTCTTTTTTTTTTTTTTTTAAAAAAAAAAAAAAAAAGATGAGTAACTGAATGAGGTTTCAGAAAAGGGCTCTAACGGGCCGGCCCGTGGCTCACTCGGTAGAGTGCGGTGTTGATAACACCAAGGCCACGGGTTCGGATCCTATATAGGGATGGCCGGTTTGCTCACTGGCTGCGCGTGGTGCTGACAACACCAAGCCAAGGGTTGAGATCTCCTTACCGGTCATCTTTTTTTTTTTTTTTTTAAAAAAAAAAAAAAAAAGATGAGTAACTGAATGAGGTTTCAGAAAAGGGCTCTAACGGGCCGGCCCGTGGCTCACTCGGTAGAGTGCGGTGTTGATAACACCAAGGCCACGGGTTCGGATCCTATATAGGGATGGCCGGTTTGCTCACTGGCTGCGCGTGGTGCTGACAACACCAAGCCAAGGGTTGAGATCTCCTTACCGGTCATCTTTTTTTTTTTTTTTTTAAAAAAAAAAAAAAAAAGATGAGTAACTGAATGAGGTTTCAGAAAAGGGCTCTAACGGGCCGGCCCGTGGCTCACTCGGTAGAGTGCGGTGTTGATAACACCAAGGCCACGGGTTCGGATCCTATATAGGGATGGCCGGTTTGCTCACTGGCTGCGCGTGGTGCTGACAACACCAAGCCAAGGGTTGAGATCTCCTTACCGGTCATCTTTTTTTTTTTTTTTTTAAAAAAAAAAAAAAAAAGATGAGTAACTGAATGAGGTTTCAGAAAAGGGCTCTAACGGGCCGGCCCGTGGCTCACTCGGTAGAGTGCGGTGTTGATAACACCAAGGCCACGGGTTCGGATCCTATATAGGGATGGCCGGTTTGCTCACTGGCTGCGCGTGGTGCTGACAACACCAAGCCAAGGGTTGAGATCTCCTTACCGGTCATCTTTTTTTTTTTTTTTTGTCTTTTTCCGTGTCCGGCAACGGATCGCAACCCTCAGTGTTGCCCCCGTACCGGACCGGGACCGGCAACGGGATTGCAACCCTCGGTGTTGCTCCCGCGCCTCGCTCAGCCAGTGAGCGGGAACCGGTCTGTATGTGGGATCCGAACCCTCGGGCGGGAGCGCCGCCGCGCTTCCCAGGCGGCGCACTATCCAGTGCGCCACCGGGCCGGCCCAGTTACTCATCTTTAAAGGATTATTTGCTTCTGTAAAAGCTTTTTGTCTTTTTGTTTTAACATTTAAAAATTAGCATCTAGAAGCCAAAACCCAGAGGAAAATGGAAAAAGCCTTTAAGTAAATTACTAAGATCACACAGGGGGCAGTTGATGTGTGAAACAGATGTGAGGTGCATTTGCTGGAAGGTAGGGGCCTTTGAAGCTTGGAAGGAGAGACACTTTAGTGTCTTCCACGACTCCTACTTGGTGGTTGAAGNGGAGCGCCGCCGCGCTTCCCAAGCGGTGCACTATCCAGTGCGCCACCGGGCCGGCCCAGTTACTCATCTTTAAAGGATTATTTGCTTCTGTAAAAGCTTTTTGTCTTTTTGTTTCAACATTTAAAAATTAGCATCTAGAAGCCAAAACCCAGAGGAAAATGGAAAAAGCCTATAAGTAAATTACTAAGATCACACAGGGGGCAGTTGATGTGTGAAACAGATGTGAGGTGCATTTGCTGGAAGGTAGGGGCTTTTGAAGCTTGGAAGGAGAGACACTTTAGTGTCTTCCACGACTCCTACTTGGTGGTTGAAGCAGGAGGCAGGGGGGTGATTTGTCTTTTTGTTGTGAGTTTAGTCCTTAGACCAGGTATAATGAGATTGGATGGTTGGCCATTTTAAAATAAAAACAAAAAAACCCACCTTTTAAAAAATAATGAATAGACAAAGATTTCATTAGGTAATACTGGTTAGAAAGGAAGAGTTATACCACTAAAATCGTGGCCCCTGGGCTTGTTTTAACCACCAAGTGCTTTCTAAAAATTTGCATAATTGATGCAGTTCCAATGATTTTATTTGAACACAATTTAACTGTAAGAATGATGGTCAAAATCCTGGAGGTTAACTAATTTCCTCAATTAAAATAGTCTTGTAAATAAGTACAAAGAGAGTTGATGAGCCTCCAGAGATTCTGGTCTCAAAATAAATGGGACCAACATCATTATGATGGGTAAGGAGCTTTTTGCAAATCTGAATTAGTGATTACAAATATGCTGGAAGACTGAGGGTGCCTGATGAGAAAAATGCTCTTGATTTTTAACAGGTGCAGTTCAGTTTTAATTATTTATGACAACATTCTGCTCAATGAAGAGCACCTATGTTCTAAAAACAGTACAAGAGCCCTCAGCAGAGTGCCTTCAGCCCGTCCCCGGGGGACACAGATGACCGAAGTGTTTTTGTTGTTTTATATTTGAGCCATTTCTTTTTTTTTTTTTTTTTTTTTTTTTTTTTTTTTTCCTNGGCGGGAGCGCCGCCGCGCTTCCCAAGCGGCACACTATCCAGTGTGCCACTGGGCCGGCCCTATTTGAGCCATTTCTGAAGTGAAAGAGAAATGGAGTCTGAGTGCATGGGAACAAAATCTAAAATATATTTTGCTTTAAAAAAAAAAAAAAAAAAGGCAAACAGGGGAAGCATACTGTACCTTTGGGTGTGGTGTGCTGGCTGTGACCCCAGCGTGTTTCTTGTCCTTCTGGGCTTTCTGTGGTGGAGAAAGAGTCTGTGGCAGTGGCAGGGTGACCTGGGAGCTCAGCCTATCAGATGCAAAGGTACTAAACCTGGGTCAAGTAAGAGGTTTTTACAACAGTGGTGGCATTGGACATACATTTTGGGGATACCAGAACCTCTTAGAAATTTTGAGTCCCAGGGGCTTCTGGGACTTGGGGGGGAAAAAAAAAAGACAAAGATCTCTCATCTCCTGGGAAAACTTAGTTACCCAAAGCATAATTCTTGCTAATGATGTGTTAAGCTAATCCCAGGTACCCAGGTCATGAAGTCACTGGAGGTCACACTGGCCTCCCCGTGCTGGTCTGAGCTTCCTGGCTGGCTCTGGCCAGCTTCAGGCTCACAGGGAGCACAGTCCCTGGTGTTGGATTTTCCCTCCAATATTTTTTTTTTGTTACCTATGTAAAGTTTTAAAGAACTGTGCTCCGAACATTTGACCTGAGAAAACTTTACTGTGTGATTTAGTTTTCATTCCTCGGCATTTCCCCAAAAGGAG